GAGGGCGCGCGGGTGTCCGCGCTCTGCCTCGCCTGGTACGGGCTGAGCGCGGGCGGCAACGTGGTGAACAAGCTGCTGCTCGGCGGCTTCCCGCGGCCCGTCACCGTGTCGCTCTTCCACATCCTGGGGCTGTGCGGGCTGCTGCCGCCGCTGCTGCGCGCCTGGCGCGTGCCGCCCGCCGGCCCGGCCCAGCTGCCGCCCCGCGCCTACCCGCGCTACATCCTCCCGCTCGCCTTCGGCAAATACTTCGCCTCCGTGTCCGCGCACGTCTCGCTCTGGCGGGTGCCGGTCTCCTACGCGCACACCGGTGAGGAGCGCCGCGGGGCCCGCCGAGGAGGGCTTGGAGAGAGGGGGGGTCCCATCCCCGGCCTCGCTGCGAGCGGGCGCCGTGTCCTGGTGCTGGGTCCCGGGCGGGTTTGGCCGGGGCGGGCGCTGCCCCTGTTGGGTGGTACCTGATGCCCCTGCCCTGAGCGCCTCGCGCAGCCCCCGCGTCCCTCCTGAAACCGCCTTCGCGCCCGCAGTGAAGGCGACGATGCCGATATGGGTGGTTCTGCTGTCGAGGAYCATCATGAAGGAGAAGCAGACGACGAAGGTGCGGACAGGTTTGCCGCTGGTTTCTTCTCTTGCTGGGATCTCCGTTGCGCTTTGCCGGTGGGCGGGAGGGAAGCTCTGAGCTCAGGTGCCTGCGTGGTTTCTGTGGCACCAAGTGCAGGATAACGTTGCTTTCACACCTTCCTTTCCCCGTCTCGTTCCTGCAAACATAAAGAAAACCCAGCTAAAGGCAGCGAGCGAGGTGCTGCTGTCCTGGGTGTGCGCCTGGGTTGCTCTGGTCCTTGTCTTAGTCATTTTATTTCCTCAAGCCACAGCAGTGTCAGAGCTGATCCGTGGGTCTGTTGCCGCGTCCTTCCCTCTCCACTGCCCCAGATCAAGAGTACAGGTGGGGTCAGTTGGGGTGACAACACGTAGGAGGTGTCAGCCCTTCCCTGTGCTCCCCTTCCAGGTGTACTTGTCTCTGATCCCCATCATAAGCGGCGTCCTGCTGGCCACAGTCACTGAACTCTCTTTTGACATGTGGGGGCTCATCAGCGCGCTTGCTGCCACGCTGTGTTTTTCACTTCAGAACATCTTCTCAAAGAAGGTAATTCTTCTGTTGTTACTGTTGGTCAGGAACACCATCCTYTAGGGAGCTAAAAAGCATTTTCCAGTACTTTTTTTTTTCTTTCTTTTTTTAACAGAGGTGCTTTAGAGTGAAAGTTCAACTACTTTGTTTGCATCTTTTCTACAGCTCTTCTTATGCATGGTAGTGTTATACCRAAAACGAGCAAAAATGCAAGATTTTATTCTGAACCTTTTCTTTATTCCTTGACTTTTTTTTTTTCTGTTGCTGCTGACAATTAGCTAGTGCTTAAGACTTTGTTTGAAAGCTTCTACGTTTCTTGCTGTATCAGAGCRTTTCTTTGTAGTGCATGAGTCAGTGTCAACACAGGGCGCTACTTGTGCCCTTAGGAATGAAAAGGCAAAGTTAAAATGTATGTCTGGTTCAGTTATAAAATGATTTCTGGTTTGTCAAGCATTTTAGCAGTATTATTATCTTGTTAAGGCTGAGAGCTGCCAGGTATGTTTATTGCTTCAGTCATCTTAAAGGGGATTCACACTACAATGGTATTTGCTTGCTTTCATAGTGTATATGTCTGTTGTCTGGATTGCTACTGTTATGTGGTTCCTGAGTCTCTTTCAATATGTGGGCAGTCATCGAAGAAAAGATGTTTATGATGTTTTCCATCAGGTTTTAAGAGATTCCCGAATACATCATCTTCGGTTGCTGAACATACTCGGCTGCCACGCTGTGTTCTTCATGATCCCAACGTGGGTTTTGGTTGATCTTTCCTCCTTTCTAGTAGAGAATGACTTGGTAAGTCTTTGTTGAATGTATTTGTGATACGTAAACTGAAAAAGAGCGTTTCAGTGTAGTTCCTTGTTAACACGGAAGGAACTGTTGTGAAACCTCTAAAAGCGGCATCACAAAATGGTATAAAAGATAGCAGAGAGTCTATTGTAAGAGTTCATATAAGAATTAGAAGCAATAGCACAAGTCCCAGAAAYGAGCAGTTGGAGGCAGGAGCTCTGAAAAGCTACTCCAGGTTATTTGGAATAACTGGTGCCATGCTGGAATGAATGGTGCAAGTGTGTAGAGAAGTGTTTTCTCATGATCAGTAGTTGTGCAAGGTAACACCGAGCCTCTTGACYTGAGACAAATTGCAGATGCTGTTCCTATCAAAAAGCAGCTAAGAAGTGACTCACAGTAGATCCAYGTTTCCGTATGAATTTTTCCTGGTCTCTTATCTGGAACCTGAGATAAACTTCTTTTTTTTTTCTCTTGTGGTGTTTGTCTTTATAACAGAGCACAATGTCTCACTGGCCCTGGACCTTAATGCTGCTTATAATCAGTGGATTTTGTAATTTTGCCCAGAATGTCATTGCCTTCAGTATTCTTAATCTGATCAGCCCGTTAAGTTACTCTGTTGCAAACGCCACAAAAAGGATCATGGTGATCACAGTTTCCCTTATAATGCTTCGAAATCCTGTTACCAGCACCAATGTCCTTGGAATGATGACAGCTATTTTAGGGGTGTTCTTATATAACAAGGTAAGTGATGAATTGAGTGTTTTGTTTTTAAGGAAACCCACCCAGGAACAGTAGATTTTATGCACTGCTCATGTCTAGTAGCTTTGAATCATTTCTTCCAAAACAAGTTGACAATGAGTTGAAAATACGTAGCATAAAAATTCTTTGCAGAGGAGGATATATGTTATGGCCTCAGTGCTCAGGTGAGGACAGTTGTTAGATCTCTAGTGAACTTGTATTTTGATCTTAATATTTTGTTGAGAAATTAAGACTGAGAAGTAAATCCTCAAATCATTTGAGCTAAACAGAGGCTTATGATTTGGCATATCAGAGGGATTAGACTTTTTATTGTAAGTCAGAAATACTTAAAGATTCTAACAAGGTTATAGTGTAATTGTAAGTGTAATTGTATAGTGTAAATGTAAAAATTGTGTTTTCTTTCTATATATATAAATGCACTAGTTGATTATCCCCCAAAAATATTCTCTCTTTCTTTCCCAGACAAAATATGATGCAAATCAGGAGGCAAAGAAGCAGCTACTTCCAGTTACAACCGGAGACCTTGTGAATTTGGACCGGCATCGAAACACTCCTGAAAAGTCTCAGAACGGACTTACAGCATTCGTACAACATGGAGACTATCAGTATGGTCGAGCCAATGTTTTAACAGACCATTTCCAGTATAATCGGCAAAACTATCCGACTGCCTACAACTTAAATCGTTTTGATATATAGAATCCTGGCAAACAGGTATAGACTGTGATATCGGAGTGTCCCCAGCATTATCAGAAACTTTTAGTACATCCGTGAATGTAAAGCCATTTTATTGTACAGGTTTTGCAGAAGGGAAGATGCATGTGCGGTGGAAGTGGTGCAGACCTTTGACTTCTGCTAAGCAGATTTTGAAACAGGAAACACTTAGATCTGGCACTGGAACTAAATGCACAGTGTAGCTCTTGTATGGAGGTTGTGGCAAAATGCAGGTACAAAACATCAATGTAAAATATCTTCACTGCTCCTTTTTGGGGTCTGTCAACTGATTATTCTTTCGGCAGCTAAACTGTGGCCAGTACTTTGCTTCCACGCTAGCAACATCACCTTTAATTTGTTCTCTAATATGTATTTTAATGATATTTAGATGAAATTTTCAGAGAAGGTGAAACTCTGTGCACTCCTGGGTATCAGGAGCTGCCAGTTGGAGGAGAAATGACTTATGTGCATCAGTTGCAGGCAGGTAGACTTGGTTCATCTTGGGCAAATATGAAAATTCATGTGGGTATTAATTACTTCTGTGCCTATGCCTTCAGATTTTGGTCACAAACCATCTGTTTCTGAAAGGGTAGACAGTAGGAAAATCGATCCATTCAATAATATTTTTTTCAGGCATGGAGAACCCTTTTTTTTCTAAAATCACTGTTGCCCCAGTTGCTGTAGATAAACAAAACAGAGCTTAAGATCATTATTGTTCTGAATAATGTAGTCCTGTAACTTCGGACATTGCTCTTCCCTGGCAGTACAGAAAACACCTTGACAAATAAAGTGTTTGGAACAATATGATTTTTTTTTTTAATTGCTTCACACTTCTTACAAATGTCTTGTGTTGGCTTAAAAATTCAAAGTTTGAAGGTGTTTTCTTCTCAATTTTGTGTTCAAATTATGTTCATTTATTTCATTCGTATTTTATGAATGCATGGATTTGAATAATCATCTTAATTGTTTATTAAGTCTATCTTTTTAACCTCTGATTGTTTTTATAACCCTCAATCAGCGCTGTTGGAGCTGCTATGTGCATTTGGCCTGACTCCTACTTTCAGCTAAAGGAAATTAAATTTTATATCCCTTTTTTCTTACTGCCACTCCCCTAGACTGAAGAGTAAATTATTAAGAGAAAATATTATGAATCAGCAGTAAATATATAATTAATGGCTAATGAGTCCTGATTCAGTTAGCATAAATGAAGGTACTTAACTTAAGACAGGTTAACGGTTGTGTGTCACTTGTGCATGAATGGAATGAAACCATTTGAACTTCGCTTTTGCTGAACCGTATTATTATTATTACTCCTTTAGCAAAGAAGATTCTAGGGACCTTCTTTCCATAACAGAAAAGCTATTGTATAGTAGGATTTTGATAGCATAAGTATTACATTTTTACTGGAGAGTTATTAGATACTGGAGACAAAATTTAGGACGTGGTGCTGTACAAAACACTCCCTCTACATATGTAATGCTTTAAAAAATGACTGTTTCCATGAAGTGAAATGATGACTTGACTCTTTTCTGCATACTAAAGAATTTATTTTTAAGCGCAAAGTCAACCTGATCTCATTCTTTTGGTTGTCTGTGGAGGTAGTAATGTAGACTGCCTTCCACAATACACTCCAAAGGAGGAAACAGTCTTTCTGAAACTTTAGAAATGATTTAAAAATGCTGCTAATGTTTGTCAGTGGAACTTGCTTGACTTTGTTGAGGTTGAAACTGTTCATACTGGCATAGAACTTGGGCTTTTAGTTAAGAAGATCTGAAAATGATTCCCAACCCTGATTAACAGGATTGTGAGGAAAAGCATTTGTTCATATGAAATTACTTTTGCTTATCCCTGTATTAATTTATATTTTTCTTTTAATGTGGAAAAGTGCAAAATTTATATTTCTAAAGCTAGCTTCCCAATATTTAAGTGCTGTTGCATAAGTGTAAGAAGTATCTTGGGGACACTGGATTAGATCTAGGTTCTGGCTCTRCAAAGGCTCTTGAGTTTAGGATGAGACATTTAGGCTGATGTTTTTAAGAGCTTGTGAAATAAGRTGTCCAAGTGCTTTTAGGGGGAGCTAGCTGTAAGCTGTTACACTCCTGCAAAGGCTTCATGCTGCAGTTTCCATTCGGGAAATGGGAGGTGATTCTCCCCTACCTTAAAGGGTGTGAGAAATACCAGTAAAAGCAGCAGCAGCRGGGCCCAGGGATGGACAGGAGACCTCTGCCTTACTCTGAGCATCTTCTGGTCTGTGTACCACTGTTCAATCAGTGCACACAACCTGAGCTATCCCTTTGGCCCCACATCCCCTTTGGCCTTSTAGCCTCAGCATATTTCCAAACCCAAGCTGTTGTCTGTAGCACAGAGTAAAAGGAGGCAGGCACAAAATAGGAGATCCCATTTCGACCCCAGAGAGTGAGGTCTGACCTTCACCCCCAGCTTAGCCCAACAGCATTCGTGCTCTCCTAGGTCAGGTCTGTGATCAAAGAGGATAATTTTGTACAATAGAGTAGATAATTATGAGCCACGTTGGGTGGTTTTGCTAAGTACCCRAATTAAAGTCCTTGAGCAATATTGCCCACATTCAGGTAAAGAAAGTTTCTGATATTCTTGTAATATATATTGATCTTGGAGAGCTGCAAGATCTTGTTTGGCAAAGTGTAACATTTGTTTTAACATGGTTTGTAAATTAAGGACGTATTTAACTATGTACATAGGTCTGTAGAAAGTATGGAAACACTGGAATAAAAAGGGCATATCTAGACAATCATGTATAATGACCCTGTTATTAAATGAAAGCAAAGGGGTTGGTTTGGTTATTTCTTGCAGGGTGTTTGAGGAGTGTTGTACGTTAGGAGGGATGGCTGCGTAGGAGAAATGGTGTTCTGCATTTCCAGGTGTTTTACTTACACTAGAACTAACGTGGTTTGGATGCCATTACTAGTGTTAGGGGGACACTATTGGTGGTTTCTTTAGAAATGTTTTTTATTTCTATTGTGCATTTATAAGGTACATGTAAATACATCACAAAACTGGGAAGTTCTTCCCAAAACAGTCCRGGGTAGTTCTAGAAATCCAGTGTTAGAGAAACCAGTTTCTCCCCACTAAGTGTGGGGCTTTTGTTAGTAGCTCTTTAGAGTATTTGGTGCTCTTTGAAACCCCCTTGAAAATATTTCCCCTTCAGACTCAATTTTAGTACCCAGTAGTGATTAGAGCATCTTTATTATTTGATAAAAATGCTCCTTTCCTCTTTCCTCTTTCCTCTTTCCTCTTTCCTCTTTCCTCNCTTTCCTCTTTCCTCTTTCCTCTTTCCTCTTTCCTCTTTCCTCCTAAATATTAAATAAAATTGAGGCAATACTTAGGAGTGCGGTGATTTGCAAAACTTGGTAATTTGGGGACAACTCGAGCTGATTCATGAGACTCAAATCCATTTCTTTCTCATGTGTTCTAAGCCGCATTTTCTGATGTAGCATTTTGCAGCAGAAAAGAAAAAATCTGCCGTGTAGCTATTTGTGGAAAAAAGTGCAATATAAATAAAGGGAGAGTTTTGTTTTTCTAAGGCTTCCATTTCTGAAACATGTTATACACTGTCAAAAATCATTCTGAGATAACTTTGTGGTGATGGTATGAGCTGGTAAAAGAACTGTGTAACTCCTGGGATCACAGATGCTTTATGTAACTACTCAAGTGCAAATACGCAGGTGGCAGTCACCACCTATCCCTTCTTGTTCTGTTTATATTGGTATTTTATTGGTTTTTGTGAATATGCGAGATCTAAAGAAAGAAAAAACCTTACTGTATGAAATCTGGCACTTTAAGCAAACGCAGATTCTTGTGTTGTTTTCCTGTCCTTATTTCAATTATGGTCCATGAAGTCGAAGCTGGTTCTTAGTCCCTTTGCCTGCGCTGCACCTCTCCAGCCTGTCCGTGTTTCTTTGGAAGCTGATGTTCCTGTATGCAACAACAGGGAAAAACAGCACCAGGATATAGATGGTGTTTGGATATACCAGGATTCTGCCCTGTCTGAAGAATTTTCAGGTGATTTTGGGGGACACCCTCGTCCAGTCCCCGTGGATTCTGGGGCTTTACGGACAAGCTCCTTGCGGAGCGGGAAGGGGCTGATGTTTTTGCTTGACTAGAGGGCAACCCTATGAATTTTGAGAAGTTTGGGGGTTTGCTTTTGCTTTTCCTTTTATCTGGAGACAGGCAAACACCTATTATTTCCCCCCCCCGACTTTTTCTACTCTGTAGATTATATAGTGGGGCCTTCGTGCTGTCTTGTTAAGAATAAAACGTTCTGCCTTTTTGTGAGGGTGTCTTTGGGTGTCATCTCTGATTGGAAACACAGTGAAGTGCCATTTAATTTTGAAAGCGATCAGSTTTCAAGTGATTGTAGCTCCAGGTGACCACCGGATTAAACCACCAGGACACTGGAGTTTCCCTCGGGCTTCCTTGGAACCAGTTTTAAGTCCAACTTCCTCCTGTACTAAAGGACACCGCCATGGCTTGGGCCCCGGGCTGAGTTTTTGATGTCTCGTTCTCACAAAGGGCCCAAATCGCCCCCCGTGGGGCCGGCGCTGGCGGGAACGGGGCCCGGGCGCTTCGCGGGGTCCCCGCGCGGCCGGGGGCTCCGCAGGCCCCGGTGATGGCGGCGGGGGCGGGGGAGGGGGCACGTGCCCCGCGCGCGCGCGCGCTCCCGCCCGCCGTCCCCATAGCAACGGAGCCGTAAAGCGCGGCCGCGCCTGCCGCCTCGCGGCACTTCCGGCCGGTGAGGCCTAGCAGCGGCGGCGGAGGCGGCGGCGGCGGCCGCGGCCCTTCCCGCCCTTGCCGCCGCCATGGAGATGCCGCTGCCGCCCGACGGTGAGCGCGGGGGGCCGGGGGGGCGCGGGGGCCGGGGGGGCCGGCGCGGGCTCACGGCGCTGCCTCCCGCAGACCAGGAGCTGCGGAATGTCATCGACAAGCTGGCGCAGTTCGTGGCGCGCAACGGGCCCGAGTTCGAGAAGATGACCATGGAGAAGCAGAAGGAGAACCCCAAGTTCTCCTTCCTCTTCGGCGGCGACTTCTACGGCTACTACAAGTACAAGCTGGCGCTGGAGCAGCAGCAGCGTGAGTGCGGCGGGCCCGGCCGTGGCCGAGGGCGCTGCGGCTGCGCCCGCCTCGCGACCGCCCCGCAGCCGCCCGGGGTTTGTGGAGCCCCCCCCGGCTCCTCACACCCCCCCCGGCTCCTCACACCCCCCATAGCTCCTCAGCCCCCCTGGGGTGCGGATTGGGGAGCCCTTGTGCCCTCCAGAGCGAGGGGTCCCCCACAGCGCCCCCCCATCCTGCCCGGGCCTCGCGTTGGGTTCAGTCCTCCCAAACCCGCTCGTTTTGCTTCTCCCCACCCGCCTCAACTGCCTCTTGTGTGAAAGACCCGAGCAGAGCCCCCCGGTCCTGTTGGGGGGCGGCCGTTCCCCGCCGGGGGCTGCAGGCAGCCGCCGTCTCCGCGCTAACTCGCGCGCTCGCCTCCCCTGCCAGTGCTGTGCAAGCAGAGCCAGGACATGGAGGCCACGGCGCAGATGCAGCCGCTGCCGCAGCCCGCGCTGCCGCCGGCTGCGCCCATCCCGGCCCCGCAGGGCACGCCGTCCGTGGAGGAGCTCATCCAGCAGAGCCAGTGGAACCTCCAGCAGCAGGAGCAGCACCTCCTCGCCATGCGGCAGGTCGGTTTAGCGCGAGCAGCCAGCGGGGTTGTTGGCTGCGAAGGGCAGCGGCGGTCGTGGCGCTCAAAGGAGCGACTCTAATCCGTATTTGATGCTGCAGCCCCCTCAGTTACGGGGTGTTCCAGTCTGTGGCGCTCACGGATGGATTCTGCCCGGGGCTGGGCYGGGATGGTGCCCTGTGCTCCGTTTAGCTGCTTTGCAGCCTGTGTTTTGCTTTTAGAGGTACCGAATTGAAGGGTCTCTGGAGAAGGGGAGAGTCCCATGTGGATTGTGCTGTGCGTTTAGCAGCTGGCTACAGTTAYCAGCTCACGTGAAGGAGAGATTTAGGAGGTGGAAATGAAGAATATTTCTCCTAAAGAGCGAGACAAGTCATCTTTTCTCAGAAATAACACACTTATATATGGCCACATTGCATGTCAAAGGGCTTGGTCTTCGAGGTGACTGCTCATGGTTAAAAGAACAGGGATGCATTGGTTGCAGTGTAATTTCTTTTGTTGTTGTTTTCTTTCAGGAACAAGTTACATCAGCAGTAGCCCTTGCGATTGAACAACAAATGCAGAAAGTTTTAGAGGAAACCCAGTTAGATATGAATGAGTTTGACAACTTGTTGCAGCCAATAATTGACACGTGCACAAAGGATGCAATCTCAGTAAGTAAATGTCCCTCTTAGCAGGTCCGTACCTGTCCTGGTAGGTGAAATGCAACTATGAAACTATGAATGCAACACCAAGAAGGATGAGAGGTTCTTAATTGTACAAAAAGCAATCAGAAGATTTTCATTTCAGTCACAATTGATTTTTTTTTTCTTTGTTTCTGTTTGGCTACTCAGAACACGGAGTCCATTCATAAATTGAAGAAGAGGCTTCCCTGGAAACTGAGGAGATGGAGGGGCTTGACTTGTGCTAATGGGAAAAAAAAAGATGGGTCCCTATTTAGAAGTGTTTTGAGGCACCAATTTGAGTGCTGCATTAGGGTTTAGGGTAAAGTAGTTCAAAGCAGCTACTGATTATTAAAGAAATAGATCAGAATTTACCTTCAGAATAGGAAGATAAATTAAGCCTGATCATGCAGTAAATGAGTGATCTAAAGCTGAACTGTTTGTTATTTAGTAGTGTTGGAGATAAGTACAACTCGCACTTTGAGACTGTATGGTTAAAAATAGCAATGTTATTGTTGCATTGTGTGGTACACGAGATGGCAGTTGTTAYTGCATATTTCCCTTGCAGTTATTTCAATTTAGCAAGTCCACAGGATGTGAGCACAGCAGACTAACTTAAAATATTTTCAAATTCATTTTCTAAGGCTGGCAAAAACTGGATGTTTAGTAACGCCAAGTCTCCTGCCCACTGTGAGCTGATGGCTGGGCACCTGCGGAATCGCATAACGGCAGAAGGAGCTCACTTTGAGCTTCGACTGCATCTAATCTACTTAATCAATGATGTACTACACCACTGGTAAGAGCTTTTTAGCAATTATTTACAACTTCYGTCTACTTTGTTTGATTATTTCAGATAAGTCTGTACAGTAAAATGTAAAGAACTAGTGTTACTGTTGTAGCAAAAGGCAATAACTGTCCTCCTTCCCTTCCTGAAGCCAGCGGAAGCAGGCACGAGACCTTCTGGCCGCTTTACAAAAGGTGGTTGTGCCTATATATTGTACCAGTTTCCTGGCAGTGGAGGAGGATAAGCAACAGAAAATTGCCAGAGTAAGTAGCTGGCTTTTGTTTGACTCTCTGTTTTGCTCTCTTTGAGCATTAATGCTAGACATATGGGAAATATGAGGGTAGAAGGGGGCTGCCGAGATTTTTTCAAGTATGTTTTTTCTGTCACAGAGTGTACTTGAATTCATGTTGGAACGATAACTTTAWCCCCCCAAAAAGGTACCTGGGCTTTATTTAAAAGTCACCATGATGGTGAATACCTCAGGGTCTGTGGTATTTCCAAAGACAAGTTACTAAATCCTAGGCCTTTTGACAAAGCCAGCTGTATAAAAATGCTTTGCCTTGACTTTTCTTCTGTTGATTATCATTTCTAACAACCTTTTGCTCTTGTATTTATTCAGCTTCTCCAGCTGTGGGAAAAAAATGGGTACTTTGATGAATCGATTATTCAGCAGTTGCAGAGCCCAGCACTTGGACTTGGCCAGTACCAGGTTAGCTGCAAAAGAAATTAACACTTTCCGTATTTATATAAATATAATCTTGTTATATATATAAAAAAGTATATATAACCTTGTTATTTCAAATGTTCAGTGATCTGTCAGCTGATAGAATCCCAATAAGTTCCCTGTGACTGTGTTGTGGCAGTTAAAATGCAAGTCCATATTCTGTGGCTTCTTTTCTTCTTATGGAAAAGCATAATTGGTAAAAGAGAAACTAAAGAAAACCTTAACTTAAAATTTTATGTACTAAGTCTACTGATTATTGTGGCAGCAGGACTTATTCATTGTTAGCATTAATAATGAATGCTGTTGATTTTAGATACTCTTGAAAGGCAGCTTTTAATACAGACAGCAAGTTTTAGCCTCCAGGGAACCTTTTTGCAGGTTTTCACATAGATTCCATGTGCGAATAGGTTCTTCTGCTGATGAACTCTGCTGGGTTTTCATGTATTTCYTGGGAGGAGGTGGGGGTTGATATAGGAGATTCTGCCTGAGGAGCTAGGACAGCTACTTCAGGTGTGGCATTAACTTTCTGAAAATGTTCTTAATTTATCTTTATTTTTCTCAGGCAAATTTGATCACAGAATATGCAACGGTAGTGCAGCCTGTGCAGGTAGCCTTTCAGCAGCAGATACAGAACTTGAAGACTCAGCACGAAGAATTTGTAAACAGTTTGACACAGCAGCAGCAGCAGCAGCAGCAACTACAGATACCCCCGCTAGAGAACGAGGTGAAATCAACGCCCCCACCCCAGGCCCCCACATCGGCACCAAGCACCGCTCCGCCGTCTGTTCCAGTCACGCAAGCAGGTACTAACCTGTCTGGGGTGGCAACACTGAGATATTTACTGCTTGTTTTTCAGTACTGAGCTGCTGTGAGATGCTGATTTGTTTCGAGCAAAARTCTAAAGCTGCCTGGAGATTTGCAGGTGGTGCAGTCTTGACCCAAAGATGCACATTTTAACAGAGATAAAAAAAAATACTCTCTCCTAGTAGCAGATTTCTGCCAAATATGGACACTATGCAGCAAAACTCAGTGTTTTGCTGGTGTTTTAGTGATCTCTTGTGACCTGGGGGCTTGTACCTTTCTCCTGTCTGTTTCAGATGATGGTAAATCTCAGATGCCGCTGTCTGGCTCTACGGAATATGACACCACAGGGTCTGGAGTGCAGGATCCTGCTTCTGGAGGACCGCGTGGCCCTGGGTCTCATGATCAGATTCCACCAAATAAACCACCCTGGTTTGACCAGCCTCACCCTGTTGCACCCTGGGGTCAACAACAGGTATTACACGTGCTTCTGAGACAAAGTATAGAGGGAGGTGGAAGTTCATGTATTCAGAAAGATCACCTTGGGTGGGAGAGGGTGGTAAAAGCTGTCAGTGTTAGAACTCCAGAGTCAGATCCCAAATTTTCTCACAACTGAGAGCAAAGTATAAATTATGGTTGACAGTTTGTCATCTACCACTTTATCTGTATGAACAAGCTGAACAACAAGAATCATTTTGTGAGCACAGTGCCATTCTTCTCAGTGGCAGTTTGGTCTTTTCCATTTTTTTCTCTGAAATTTCAGTTATTTGGACCTTGTATATGGACAAGCCTTTTCCTTTTTGCATATTGTCTACATTTTGAGGCAATAGTTGGGCTGGAAGACAGACTGTTTTTATAATGTTCTTTACTTTTATAGTCTTGTGACCAGGCTCCTTACCCTCAGCAGCAGGGACCTCCTCATTGTCCTCCCTGGAATAACAACCACGAAGGAATGTGGAACGAACAGAGAGATCAAGGTTGGAACAACCAGCGAGAGACGCCTTGGAACAACCAGCCAGATCCCTCTTGGAACAACCAGTTTGAAGCACCGTGGAACAACCAGCACGAACAACCTCCATGGGGTGGGGGTCAGAGGGAACCTCCATTTCGAATGCAGCGGCCACCTCACTTCAGAGGCCCATTCCCTCCACATCAGCAACATCCCCAATTCAACCAGCCCCCGCATCCGCATAATTTCAACCGCTTCCCACCTCGCTTCATGCAGGATGATTTCCCACCTCGCCATCCCTTTGAAAGGCCTCCTTATCCTCATCGTTTTGATTACCCCCAGGGGGATTTTCCTCAAGGTAAAGTGTGTCCCTGGGCAGGTTTTCTTACGTTGCAGTGCTGATTACCCTTGCAAAATTATTTAGTGCTTTGCACTCACAGCTTATGCTTGGAGGAATGGCTTTCCAGAACTACAGTGATTTGGGGGGCGTTGGGGAGCAGCTGCTACACAATATGTAGAATTTGNTTTTTTTTTTTTTTTTTTTTTTTTTTTTTTTTTTGAGTCTGCCTCCCTTGGTGGGATGTGGATAACCAGAAGCAGTAACCCAAACTCAGGGCAGCATATGTCTGAACTGGTTCCTTTTCTCTTTACAGTATCTAGATGCAAAGTGGATATTTCTTTTGTGAATGTTGATTTCATTTTTAAAATCTAAAGTCCAGAAGTGAAAAGCGACCCCAGCCTGTGGATTTCATTTCCTGCATGTCAGGCCGTAGATGAGGGCTCTGTTGTCTTGCCTGGCCTTTGTGGTATGGATTGGCTGCAGTTGGATTGGCTGCTTCCTTGGAAGTCTGATACAGTTCTGCTCTGATTTAGTTTCTATTTCACATTCAGAAGTTACGATTAATCTAGAATTATTGTTGTCAACATGAAGYCTAAAGATCCTTGTGGTTCCCTATGACTATGACAAGTCACTTAAAAAGCAATCACGTTGCCATTTTTAAGCTTAAAATGTAGGAGGTGCTGTTTTAAGCATAAAATATTCATGATTCTATAAGTCCAAAAAAGGCTGAAAAACAAGGAATTCAAGCTTATATATTTAAGGATCGTGATTACCTTTAAGTATTTTTTTAATTTATTTTTTAGGGGAAACAGTCTGTACTTTTTAAAAACCTGTGTCTTTTAAACAGAGTTATGTTAGTAAGTAGGGAAAAAAGCTTTGCTTTTTGGTGGGGGAATTAAGCTCAGAAACGGTGCTGTGTTTGGCATTGTAGTTGTGACCCAGATCTTTTGTTGCTTYGAGGAAGGCTCTTGGAGGTGGGAGTCTGCTGAAACAGGTGGCTAAAATTAGCAAGGACAGCAGAGATTAAACTGAAATTCTGCAAGATGAATCAGGTGGCACCGGCTGAAGGGCGGACAGAGGCTGCAGGGGCTTCTCCTGAAAAGCCCCGTCCTCTTGAGCGCCGTGTTGGTTTCCAGGCTCCCGTTTCTCTGCGTAGTGCAGCGAGCTCAGCAGGGACACGGGGCTTTGTGGCAGATGGCTCCTCCGTCAGGGGCTGGGCAGATATCATTYACTTCTGCCCTTAGCAGGATTTCACCTCTGCTTCTTCTCAAGACACCCCTTTAAACAAAGTGCTTGTTTCTCACCCCTTGGTGCGAGCTGATTTTTGCCATTTTTGTTTATTTACGTGTCCTGCCCGGTGTAGGGACACAACTAATCACAGACCTGTGCTGCACTAAGCCAGGACGGTGTGTTCAGGCTTTGGGAGCAGCGTGCTGCTGGCTGCCCTGCATCTAAAACCTTTCATTCTTGAGAAGATTCTTGCTGTAGAGCTTTTTTTGGCCACAGTTTGTTCCGAAGCAAACATGAAAGTTTCCTGTTGTTGTGAGAGTAGCTGCTGTAGCTGGAGAGAGGGACGCTGCAGGGTTTTAGTGAGCGTGGAACAGCTCTCGTTCTTTTTTGTTCCTTTTCTTGATTGTCAAGGCTCCAGCTGCCATGATTATATATATTCCTAGGATAAATGCACTGTTTGAAGTACCTCTGTCTGCCTTCCTTTCTCTAAAGCTAACATAAACCTCCTTACTCCTGCTGCTCTGTGCAGAGATTGGTCCTCCTCATCATCACCCCGGTCACAGACTGCCTCATCCTGGGATCAGCGAGCACCCTCCCTGGGGAGGGCCCCAGCACCCCGATTTTGGGCCTCCACCACATGGATATAACGGGCAGCCTCCTCACATGCGGCGACAAGGCCCCCCTCACGTGAACCACGATGATCCCAGTCTGGTGCCAAACGTTCCCTACTTTGACCTTCCCGCTGGACTTATGGCTCCACTTGTGAAAGTAAGTGCTCGAAACGGGCCCTGCCTAGTAGGATTAGAAGTCTGAAATGCCCCGCTCAGCTTTAGGGCCGTGTTAAAGTTTTACATTCCTATTTCAAATCTTTCCACGCCGCAGCTGTCAGACAAAGTCATTGCAGGGTTTGTAGCAGGAGGGACAGCTAGGGAAAACGGTGACATTTTCAAGTGCTGCATCCCCTTGAAATGCAATTCAGTTCACATACGTGAAAGACTTAATGTGCTCTTGAAAATCTTACCTGTGTTTAAGCAGTTAGTGCTCAGTGATTTCCAGATGGGCCGAGGGATGTGGTGTGGCCACTGTGCCCTGGGGCTGCTACTCAGGATTCTTCCTACAAGGATTTCTTTTTCTCTTTTTAACTCTTAATGTGGCACATACAAACAGAGAGCAACAGAGGGCAAGAAGTGTTCAGCCTCTGTGGGGATGCCAGCGGCTTTGGGGTGTCTGTCTTTTTCTGTGCCGTGTTTGAGGTGAACAGATAGTCTCCTCCATCTCTGACTTTGCTGCTGCATCAGCTTTTGCCAMGTTTCCATTCAGGCACTGTTACCACGAAGGTGGGTAAATGGAGCGTTTAAATGGATCGCCAGGTAGACAAAATGCAGCTTTCGACGGGTGCAGTGCTGGCTGATCTCATTGAAATGAAAATGGTAGTGACAGCACARAAAAGCTTTGGGTCAGCTGCAGAACCCTTATTGCTGGACCTTGTTTTTATCCAATAATGAATTGTGAGGTCCCTACACAGTTAAATCTATATTCATCTCTTCAGGTAGCTACCCCATGACACGAATGTAATTTGTTTTGTTTCCGGCAGCTTGAAGATCATGAGTATAAACCTTTAGATCCTAAAGATATACGTCTTCCACCCCCAATGCCCCCCAGTGAGAGACTCCTGGCTGCGGTTGAGGCATTTTATAGTCCACCATCTCATGACAGGCCTAGAAACAGGTAAGAGTAGGTATAGCTAACAATATGGTAAGGAAAAAGCCCTAAGAAGCTGTCTCAAACAAAGAAGTGCCTCTCTCTTCCTTCGCCTGTGTCTTGGTTCCACTAATGCTGAAAATAAATGCTCTTGTTTTATTTTAATCTGCACACACTGTCTCATCTTACACTGTGTGAGACGTTTTGGCCGAGACTCTCGTTTCCTACAAAATCTAGTGGAAATCCTGAACTTCTCTGTTGACCAAAGTAGAATTTTCACAGATGTTGGTTCTGTGTGGTTGATTTATTGCAGTGAAGGCTGGGAGCAGAATGGACTGTACGAATTCTTCAGAGCTAAAATGAGAGCGAGGCGGAGGAAAGGTCAGGAGAAGAGAAATAGGTGAGCGATCCTATCTGCTGCCCTCTGATGTGTGCCCTTCATTGGGAAGGTGCTCATAATACTTTACACTAAATATTTGGGGAATATCTGTTGATGGAATCACGAGTGTTTGTCTGCTCTGGAGGAAATAGTTCTTGCCACACTGTCATGTATTCACTAGGCTGTCTGCAGTGCCCTTTTGCAGTATGAACTTGATGAAAAGCCTGTTTGCTTTCTTACGCATCTCCTGGCAGCTTTACTGGAGATCTTTTCTGTGTCTCTGCAGCGGGCCGTCTCGGTCTCGCAGTCGCTCGAAAAGCCGAGGTCGCTCGTCCTCCCGCTCCAATTCACGATCTTCAAAATCATCCGGCTCCTATTCGAGGTCCCGATCTCGCTCTTGCTCTCGGTCCCGATCCTATTCACGGTCCCAGTCCAGGTACAGTGCAGTGGGTGAGGAAAGCCMTGAGGGCTGAATGAGGAACCCTGCCCTGTGACTTGCACGCTGACCTCGTGTGTTCTCCTCCTCCAGGAGCAGGAGCAGGTCCCGCTCTTCTCACAGCCGTTCGCGGTCACGCTCCAGGTCACGATCGAAGTCCTACTCCCCGGGAAGGCGACGCCGGTCGCGGTCCCACAGTCCCACTCCTCCGTAAGCAGTTACTTGTTTCCTTCTCTTTCTACCCGAGTTGTTCAGGAATGTTCCATCAAAGAAGGTTTTTTCATAACCTGGGTATATTAAGCATCTCAAGAAATATGATAAAAGATGACAAGCAGATTTGGGAGCCTGTGTGCTGTATATATTTACATATACAGAGAACAAAATTACTCTGTTGTGGCTGTTTGTCTGAACAAAAGCYGCGTAGCTATGAAGGCTTTTTACGCCTTTGTAAAAGGATCCTAACTTGTACTGGCTGCAGGTGGAGTGTTTCTGGCATCCGTAACTCCATAGTCTAATAACTTCCTACTAAACTGTAGTTTATGAGCGAGGTTGCAATTAAACGGGACCTTAATGTTTTAACAGAACTTAAACGAATTTGATCTCTTATTGTGTCTGACAATGTGCCTGAGTCAGAACAATCTTGGTTTCTTCTGGTTAATATATTCCTTTTATTTCCTTAGKTCTTCTGCTGGCTTGGGGTCCAGTTCTGGGCCTCCTATACCAGAGTCAAGACTTGGAGAAGAGAATAAAGGCCATCAAATGCTAGTAAAAATGGGTAAGATAATGTCCTGGAGCTTTTTAACTCTTCTTTTTCCCCTGAATATAATCTTTCACAAACCAGGCAACAAAGTCAGGCACCCAGCTCTTGGATACAATTACACCAGTGTTCTTAACTATGATCCATTCCAAGACCTTGCTCTCCCAGGGCCACAGTAAGTGTATTCCAAGGTGTTAGGAATACAGAAGCTGAAGCAGGAAGATTGGACTTGTTCTGTTTCCTCCCCCTGCCCTCCTACAAGTCTTCAGTGCCAGTGCTGATGTCTGTAAGCTCCTGCAAAGCACTGCATATTAATACATTTTAAAATAAGTGGGACAGCCTGGCTATTTTTATTCTTGCTCTCTATTATTTTCTTGTATCAAACTGATTCTTGAGCTTTTTTCCAAAATGTTTGGGCAATCTTGGGTGCTATTGTTTTTATTGATAGAGTTTTGAAGACAATGCTTGTCCTTTCTGTAGGATGGAGTGGATCTGGTGGATTGGGAGCCAAGGAACAGGGGATTCAGGACCCAATTAAAGGAGGAGATATCCGAGACAAATGGGATCAATACAAAGGAGTGGGAGTTGCATTAGATGACCCTTACGAAAATTATCGAAGAAATAAAAGTTACTCATTTATTGCACGCATGAAGGCCAGAGATGAATGTAAGTGAATATTACTGCACAATTTTATAAATAATGCCAGATTTAGCCRTCATTTTTATCTTATTTAATAAGGATTTCACTGTAGCTTAAACCTAAATCAAAAGACTACAAACTTTAAAGWCTAAGGTAATAAAATAAACCACCAGGTAAGTACACCTGTACTCCGAATAACCCACCATTTTTCCCTTTTTGGACTTATTTTTATTCTAATTAATTTCTGCAACGCGTAGGTAATTAGCCTGCTCTCTGTAAGCTGTAGCAGCAGCCTATCTCTTTTTATTGTAACCTTCAAGAAATAGGGTCCATCACAAAGGTGCTTTTATGGCCAGAGCCTTTCACAGGTTGGGTGGCTGCCAAAGCAGGAGGGAGGTTTTTGCGGTTTAAGTAAAGTTAGGCCACGCTTGCTGTTTCGTTTTACCCAAGTTTCCTACCATTAAATTCAGAGTTGGAAATTAATTCCTTGTAGGAAAGGCTCAGAAAGAGTAGGTGCTTTTGAGGAGAGGAAGAGAGTTCCCTGATTGAGATCCTTATTCCTAAAGCTGTCATTCCATGAAACATTTCAGCCAGCTTAGGTAACTCTGGAATGGGTAAGGCTCTTTTCCCTGTAGTTTCAGCAAAGCGTGAAGCACAAGACCCTCCACCACCTCAATAAGACTCTGGAGAAAGATGTCTTACATCTACCACAATCATTAAAACGTGTATAAATCCAGATTTACTTCCTCTAAATTTATAAGGAATTAGTTTTAAAACTATCGTGAAAAAATGGAAAGCCGTGACATGTACTTCAGAGCTTGTGCTTTAATGTTTAAAAAGAACAGTCATTATTAGGCCATGTCTAGCAAGTTTAAGAATTTCCATGTATTTTGCAAAACCTTTTCCTTTGTTAGCTATTTTCTACTAGTAGACATTAGTCAAGCTAGCCCTAGTCCAAAATTACGATTTCTGTAGAATACAAACGTTGTTTGATACAAGTCCATGCCTTTAGTTCCATAATGTATATTTATGTCTCTCAAAAGGTTAATTCTGTCTGAAGTGGAGAGGTGCTGCCTTGGGATCAAGTCAGACTGATGCTGAGCAGTGTATCCTAACATCTAAATGGGGAATGAAGCATCTAGTTCCAGCACAGGTGACCTCTGAGCACTGTGTGAGCTTGTTAGAAGCTACCATACAACTCACCACCCCTGCACACCAGCTGCTGCAGCCACAACTCGGTTCAGAACGGGAGGGTTAACTGTTCTCCGTGTTCAAGCGCTCTAAGGGATGTTCACTGCTTTGTAATGGAAGACATTCTTTAAGCTTTTTATATTTTTGTATATACCCTTTATTAAACGCTAATTAGTTCAATAGAAGAGAATCGTTTTTCTCTGCTCTGCAAGTTTCTAACAGTGAAACATTCGTGGAAACTTCCTCTAAACTAAATGAGACAAAAGTTTTGTAAGTGTTTTGAGACCACCAGCTAAAGATGTTAGGTCCCTACGCTGCACTTCCACGCCCGCGGTCTGCTTGGTGGTAACCTCTTCCAGAGTCATTGGTTTGTAGAGCAGAGACCCTCTTAAAACCATTCAGTTAATATGGTGAAATAGCAGTTTGTTCTAGATCTACTGTAGTTGTGGAACTGTAACTGTCTGTGAATCAGCATACACCACCTGTATGTTATCACCTCGTGAATTTTATTGTTTTGCCTTCCAATAAACACTTTTTTAATAAAAACAAAAGGGTGGCTCCTCTTTCAGAGAAAACAGATTTCAATACTTTGGATGTCAAGTCTCTCATAGTTAATTTGCCTTCATTTTGTGTTCAGGTAGGGTTTTGTAGTAGTTGAACAGAGCTAGACTGCATTTAAACAGTGTTTAAATGAGGCACTAAAGTTAGGACAGTAGTCTTCTACTGTGATCACATTCAGCAGCATAGTGCAAGTTTATCATTGTAAAAATGAAAACATGTAAACCAGAATGACTTACCCAGCTCCTTCAAGGAAATGTTTTCTTGGTGTTTATTCCTGAACATTGACTTAATTTGCCTGAAGCCTCTTGGCASTCTCTCTCAGTTAAAATTCACGTGTAAGAAAATATGTATAGAAAAATACAGAGCAATTAGTACAAATGCTTACAGTACATATTTTACATGCTTTTATCTGTACAGTTCGAAAGGGTTTCTTGTTCCACCTTGAGGTTTGTAAATGTAAATTCTAGTTTACATTCACCAGGGAAGAGTCAAAGCAGTTTCTGCTCCTGCCCTTTCTCAAGCTCTTGGAGTGCTCGCTCAAGGGTTAGAGGCGGGGATTTGTGATTCTTGATGTACTGCAAGAGAGCAAAGTTAGTTAATGCAAATCTATTGTGTAGATAAATACTCTGTASTATTTAGCAAATAATGTAGATTAATTTTCTGCAGTAATTTACAATATTTGGTAAATAATAAATCTTTGTAGCGAGACACCTGCACTCTTATATACTAGCAGCAGAAAATGATGCTACGAGTATTTTAGTGTTAGGAAGATCCTTGCTCATTTGTGGACTGCTAGATGCTACATCAGAAACAAAACAAATCTGGGCATACAGTGAATCCAGCTCAGTCTTGAGCACAAGCACTATACCATCTTCTCTGAAGCAAGTTAATAATAAATTTATTCTATTTAATAAACTAAATAATATTAAGTAATATTAGTAACAAAATGTTTGCTACAAGTCTGAGTGTTTGAAAGAAATAGATGGTCATGCTAGGCATAAATACCTCTTTAGCCTCTTGCAGGCTGTGATAGTGGAACTGCTCCCTCTCCAARGAAGCCACGAGGGATCTGTGAAGCTGGTGGACGTTCTCGACGAACTGCTGAGTCAGCAGCAAGTGCTGTTTTAACATATCATTTAAAAGAAGAACTGATGGACTATACGCGGTCAGGGCTGCAAGGAAGGGAGAGTATGCACTTGAGTGATAAACTAGAAGACAGGCCCCAAGTTGGAAACAATCTAAGCGTGAGTTAAATGCATTAATGTTTAATAGAATATTAAGTGCTTTTTTCAGTACCTTCTACTGTGTCCATGCTGATGACGTGACTGGCAATAGGTACTGGATCGACGTAGCTGTTTCCTAGAGATGGGCCGAGCACTGCAGAATTGTTAGCTGTATAGAGAATGAAATTAGAATTACTATGTTTGGAGGTGAAGAGGGCTGTAGCTAAGGCTCAGATGACTAGAAGCCTTTGTGGGGATTTCTGTAAAAAAGAAGCAAAGCCCCAAAATACAGGGACCTGGCAGCTAGATGATGCTGAAACAGTGCTGTGGCCTCCACCCTTTTTTTTTTCCTCTCTTCAAGATCATAATACACACCCTTTTAGAAGGCAACTTTTTTCAGTTCCAAACAGTGAAAATAAGGGTTCTAGGCCATTCTTTTCAAGCACACCCTGAGCCCTTTTGTCTCAAGTGCAGCGAGAAGTGACTGTTCCTTTTCTAAAAGAAAGGGTAGGACAGGAGTTACCCTCAGCAGCAGCTAAAGGTCTTATCTGTGTCTTGTAAATTCGACCATAGCGCTCTTCTAGAGCTAGCTACAATGCAAGAACACCCCTACAGGGGAAGATCACCTTGGTATAACACGGACTTACTCTTTGGCCAGTAGTAGGTAAACGGAGAATCAAGGGTCTGAACTGCAGTTTCCTTGAYGGTCACTCTGGGTGGCCGGTCACGCCTCTCTCTGGCAGGTGAAGGTGACGATGCTGAAGAGGGGTCTTCTCCAGAACACGTGCGGCTGTGCGAGTGTTCCTCCGAGAGCTCTGATACAAATTCACTGTCTGATACAGACGGCGACTTTTCAAAATCTTCTGAATATTCGGAATTAACAGTCCCGTCATCATCGTTTTGTCTGTGTCTAGAAAAGGCTGCAGAAACTTCACTTAAATGCTCGGAGATTTCAGTTTCAGTCATGATTTTTTCAATATCCCCCTCCGATGCATCATTTATGCCAGCTACTGAACTTGTTTTAACGGAAGTTTGGTCATTTTTCACTTGGAAAACAGCTTTTGGGGGATCCCTGTCTGACTTTTGGACATTTTGAAAGCCTGCACCCTGTAAAATGAAAGAACTACATGAGAAATGGAAAAGAAAGATTATGGGAACCAACTATAAACTTGAATATGCCTCCATTGTTCTTAATCTATGCTGCAGTATCGATACTGCTTTATTAAGAAATAAAAATGCTGCTTTACTTTGGTTTAGGAATACAACAGGAGTAGTTATCTTAGAATAAACACTGCACACCAAGCAAAGGCAGAATGGAAATATGAGCTACAAGGGAATTTCCACTTACTTCCCACTTCAGCTCTGGTGTCTCACGGGGGACATCCGATGCCAAGTCATCAAGGCTCAGTATATTCACTCTGAAGTCTGCAATTAAATGACAAATTGTCACCTTGACATCACAGCACAGAAATTATCGTACACCATACAAAGGGAACACAACAAACAAACAAACAGATCAGTACTATATTCCCAGCTTCGAACTAGTGTGTTATACTGAAAAAGCAAGAGCCAACCTCTCTTTAATCTTAGCAACAGCTCTCTCCAAGTCTCCAGCTTTGCCTGGAGCTGGATCTGTTAACCAAGTTCAAGAGAATCCTTTCCCTGAGGGTGTTTAAGATCCATACACAATTAAGAAGAGTTACCGTTTGAGCTCCCACTAGCTGAATCTTCCGCCTCTGCTGCTTCTGAAAATAACTCGTCTAATGACTTTATTTCACTTCCATCGCTTCCGAGTGACACGTGGCTCTGCTTGMCATCGCCTGTTCTGGGCAGAATACTCCTTACAACACTGTCCTTCCTGGAAGGAGCCAGGGATTGAGATCTTTCATTATTTAATACTGACAAGTTTCTGTTGGTTGGTGAAGGTGTTAGTGAATTAGCTCCAAGGGAAAGGCTTTTCTCTGAGTCTCTGCTGTGAAAGGAAGGTGCTTTAGGTGTCTTTGAAAGTGAAATGTTTTTCTGAGATGCAGGAGGCATTCCTGATGAAATTGTAGTCTCAGTCTTTCAAAGAGCATGAAAAAGAAATTCAGGCATTATTTGTGTATGTAGATCACTAAAAGCAAAGACAAATTACAAAGGGTAAACCCTAATAAGTTAAAAATGTAAGCTGAAGCCAACTCACTAACAGCTACAAATGGAGAATTAAAAATTAGTTTCTGGCACTAGCCAAAAGTGACTTACCAGCTTAAGACTATTTCATAAAAGTGTAAATAAAAATATAGAATCCAGGTCCATTTACCTTTCCGACCTGTTCAGAATCACTTACAGGCACCCTCCAATGCTGATTTCTACTGGAGAACTGCCAAGGGCTCTTCACGGGCTCTTTCATTTCCTCTTCATCCCCATCCAGACCAAGCTGCTGTTTAACTGCAGCATCACCGGGGCCGTTGCGGCTGCTTTCAGCTCCCTTAGGCCGGGCCCCAGCCAGGGCGCCGTTTTCACGGGTGTAATTCTTGCGATACTTGTTGCCTCTTGCGCTGCGCTCGCGACTGGAGGCGGATGACACGGACTCATCTGAGGGCTTCTGGCGCCGCTCGCCGTCTCGCGAGTCCAGCTGCTTTTTCCGGCTCATGAACCTGCTTTCCAGCTGCGCCACCTTCTTCAGCGCGGAGCTCGAGCGCGCGTGGGAGGCGCCACCCGGGGCGGCCTGTGCGCGGGGCCCGGCGCTTCCCGGCGGCTGCTTCCACCCGCCTCCCGGGCCGTGCTCGCCGCCCGCCTTGAGGAAGCGACGCGGCGGCGCCTTCCCAGCTGCCTCCAGCTCCGAGTCACCCGCAGACAGGTCGCTGAAGGAGCGGAGGAGGCCGCCGTGCCCCGCGGCGGTGGTTCTGGCGCGGGGCGCATCGCCCGGCCCTTGCGGGAGGAGGGCGCGGGGCGAGGGCGCTGCCGCCCTGCGCGCCCGAGCGAGCGCGGCCATGGCGGCCCGGGCCACGCGGCTCCCTCACGTCCCCGGACCGGCCGCGGCGCCGTATCCCGGAGACCGCCACTCCCCAACATCCCGCCCGCTCATTGGCTCTCCGCAAGCCGCCCGTTGCGTRCTGCCGTTCCTTGGGCGCAACCGGCCAATCGCAAGGCGGTGCGTCATCACTCCGACTACAAATCCCAGCGTGCTCCAGAAAGCGCGGGCACGTGGTGGATTGCTCCGCCTCTTCTGGGCTTTCAGCCAATCGAGTCCCGCCTCACCACTCGTGTAAGCGTACGGGCCAATCAGCGCCCGCCGTGAGCAGGGTGGGGCCGCGAAGGCGTGGGGCCGCGCGCGACCGTTGGTGTCTGAGGCGATGGTGGCCGTAGCGCGAAGGCGCCTCGGTAGCGCCCCGGCCTTTGAATCACTGCGGCTGCTCCTGCTCCTCGGGGCCGYGCTCGGGCCCATCCAGGCCGCAGTGTATTTCCAGGAGCAGTTTCTGGACGGAGGTTTTGGGCGTGAGGAAGCGGGTGGTGGGGCCGCTGCTGATAGCGGGTGTTAAAGGGTGACGGTTTCTCCTGCCCGTGGGCAGGCGAGTGCTGACCAAACTCTTGTGTTCTCTCGTGGTTACTGGCAACGGCTTTGTGGGACAGSCAACTGGCACAAGAGGTGGATGAATTCCGAGCACAAACCAGACCTAGGGAAGTTTAAACTCACAGCTGGAAAGTTTTATGGAGATCCAGTGAGAGATAAAGGTCTGTGGGAGCTATGGGGAGGACTTGGGATTTCTCCTTCATGGCAATGGAAGCATTTCTCTTGTAAATGGGGAAAAATTAAGTCTTCCTGCTCTCTTTACAGGTCTGCAGACTAGTGAAAATTCTAAGTTTTATGCTATCTCCTCAAGATTTAAACCATTTAGTAACAAAGGGAAGACTTTGGTCATTCAGTACACCGTGAAACATGAGCAGAAGATAGACTGTGGTGGGGGATACGTTAAAATTTTTTCCTCAAACTTGGATCAGAAGAACCTCAGTGCAGACTCTCAATATTACATCATGTTTGGTGAGTKCAGTTACTTCTGCATTATTAACATACAGCCATTGTTTTATGGCAGCATTCTGCATACGCCCATTTGAGAAATTTATAAASATGTATCTCAAAATGAAAATTTGTYCAGTAATATTAAAAGGAGGAAAGTAAGCAATGTCTTTTTGCAGATGCAGAAAGAAGTTTAGGATACAAGGCATGAAATTTCTTTGTAGGGCCAGATATTTGTGGATCTGAGACAAAGAAAGTCCATGTTATTTTAAGCTACAAGAATAAACCACATCCAATCAAAAAACTGATAAGATGCAAGGTAAATGTAAATCTGGTATTATAGACTGGTATTATAGCTCTTATGAAGAGCCTTGCATCAGAGTTATGTATTTCAAGAACCTTGAACACTTTACTTCCTTTCTTTAAAACCCAGGTGGATGGATATACGCACTTGTATACTTTGATTATAAAGCCAGATCAGACTTACAAAGTAAAAATTGATAATGAAATGGTTGCGTCAGGCAATCTAGAAGATGACTTAGATTTTTTGCAACCAAGGAAAATAAATGATCCAAGAGTGAAGAAACCCACTGATTGGGATGATCGAGTCCAAATTGATGATCCAGACGATGTCAAACCTGTGGTAACTTGCTCTCTTGCATCTGCTCTTTATTACTGGGTTATATYGTTGTTGCTAAATTCAATTCTTAGCTCAACTGTGGTCTTCGTTTTGSATTCTTAATCTTCCATTTTATAGGACTGGGATGAACCTGAATATATTATGGACACCAGTGCTCGAAAACCTGAAGATTGGGATGATTCTGTTAATGGAGAATGGCATCGTCCTATGGTCAAGAATCCTCTATATAGAGTACATATAATTCTAATTATAGGTGGCTTTTTATAGTAACTCTTTTTTTGCCTGATTGTATTCAAAGCACATGGTTTATTGTAGGGTGAATGGAAACCAAGGCAGATTGATAACCCAAATTATAGAGGAGTTTGGCCCCATCCACAGATTGACAATCCAGATTATTCACCAGACTTCAGTATCTACAGCTATGAAAATATTAGCATCATTGGACTAGATATCTGGCAGGTCAGTTGGCTTTTTGCAAGCAATAGCAAGTAAAGGACTTTTCATTGAGTAGATGACAGCCTGTTTACCCTCTGCATATGGATAATATCTGTTGTTTTGGGATCTTAGCTGGTGAACAACTGTGTTGGTTTTTTTGTGTGTTTGTTTGTTTGTTTTTTCATTTGCTGATATTTAAATGCACTTGAAGTGCTTAACYGGGTCTGAAGAGTTGTTGGCTGCAAAAATGACAAGAAAATTGTCCTCTGGATGGGCTTCAGATCTTTTCTCCAGTACCTCAGGCTTCCTTACTACCTAGTGATCAGACTTCTGACTTGACTTAGAGTGGTAGAGGACTTCTTTAGATTTACATGTTAATGTCTCCCTTTTCTTGTGGTTTTTTTTTTTTTTATTATTTTATCTTTTTCTTTTTACTTCCCCTTTTTCAAAGGTGAGAGCTGGAACCATTTTTGACAACTTTCTGATAACCGATGATGAAGAATACGCAGAAGACTTCGGAGATGAAACTTGGGGCGAAACAAAGGTATTGTGTGAAACTGATGTGTCTGTTTTGGGTCTTTATTACCAGATTTTAGAAACTCAATATCCAATTTTAGCAAGACTATATTTTTGTAYTGGAGTTGCACCTACGTAATCTTAATATTAGGGTCCTGAAAAGGAAATGAGCATAAAGCAGAGTGAGGAAGAGCAGCAGAGAGAGAGGGCCACAGAAGAGAAATACTTCCAGGAAAAAAATAAGAAGATAGAGAGAGAAAAAGAACATAGAAAAGAGAGATCAGAGAAGAAAGGTATGAAAAAAGAAGATCTTTAATCCTTATTTGAAAGAAGTTCACAGGCATTCTTTCACTTTGATCTATTATAAAGATTTTGATGTTTTTGTTAATAGCTGGTTGAAATCTGCACTGATAGAATTGTATTGAAACAGGATATAAAGAAGAAACAGGTTTTTGGAGCTATTTCATTTGTTTAATAAAAATACCATAAGATAGTGATTGTTAAATTCTCTGTAGTGAAGGCTAATTTCTTTAAATGTATCTTACAGGTAAATGTATCCAACAGGTTCTAGGGGGAAATACATATAGATGATGCAAACTTATTAAACTTCAATAATAAGCGAGATCTGAAAGAAACGCAAGCCCTAAAAGAGGAGAGGGGAATGTGGAGAAGCCAAACATGGCCTGAAGGAAAAGGCTGCCCCGCAGGGAGGAAGGCCGGGAGGGAGGGCAGTGTGGAAGGCACCACCTTTCAGGAGCGAGGCGCTTAAGGAGGGAGAAAAGAACGGAAGAGGGAGCCCGAGCACGGGCAGCCGGGCGCCCGGAGGGCTGCTCCAGGCTAAGAGCAGCAGGACCGCTCGCCCCGCCGCCATTTTAGCCGCCCCAAGGACCGTGTGGGAGCCGCCATGCCAGCGTCACCCCGGCAGCGGCGAGGCGGCGGCTCCCGGGAGCGGGAGACAGCGGCGGAGGCTGCTCGTGCTGCTGCTGCTGCTGCCGGTTACCGGGGCCGCACTGGTTCGGCTGCCATTTTAACGAGGGGCGGGAGGGGGCGCGGGGGGCGGCCGAACCCTCACATGGCGGCAGCCCGCGCCGAGGCGCCTGGCACCGGCACCAGCGCCGTTTGTCGCCGGGCGGGAGTCCCCGGGCCGGCGCGGGGCCCTCTGCGAGCGGCGGCTCCACGCAAGTGGGTGAAGAGCTGCTGCCCTTGGCCTCYGTTATGAGGCCTCCCTGTGTCTGGAAATGCATGTCTGGATGGACCTAGAAATCTGGGGTGTGTGTATATATATGTATTTATTTATGTACTATGTGTATATATGCGCACATGTATATGTAGGTTCTATTGTGTAATAATTGCTATATTATACTCCAAATAACCCCTCTTGAAGTCAAGGAAAAGATTTAACAAATTTACAATGCTTCATTGAAGCATCAAAAAAAAAAAAAAAAGTAAAAATAAGCTGTTTAAAAGAGCAGTGTGGAAAGAACCTGTGGAGAAGTCTGTCTGAAAACAGCCCACACCATCTCCCAAGTGGGGAAGTCCTGAAATGAGTTGCTAAGTTCCGTGGTTGGACTCGATCATCTTGAAAGTCTTTTCCAAACACTAGAATTCCTTGCAAGCCATTTTCTGTAGCTAATGTGACTTTGAAGTGAGCTGAGCTGTGTGCGGTTCCTGCTTGCAAAGTGCCCTTACTCTCCTCGTTAAACTTCATCTTAAAACCAAGGAGTCATTTTGTCATGATTACATTTCTTTGATGCCTTTGCAACAATTTTTCCCCTTCTATAATCTGTAATTTCCAGRTGACGCTTATTCCTAGTTGTTATAACCATTTTTTTTCTTGCAGCCACCGCTTTGGTGCTTTGCTCTGTGTTGTTCTGACAACTCTGTCAACTGATGTCGTGCAGCATCACTTAACATAACCTGGTTGGTGCTGAACTTTTCTTCATGTTTCAGTGTAAATCAACTAGCTGGAGTGTACACGGGAAGATCCAGCTTCATCTACATTCATCATAATTTCACTTCATTSCATTGCATCACGTAAACTAAAACATGGCAACAGGGAATGAATATATTTCAGCAAAACGAGATCATTCCTTTACAAGAAATTACATGTGGGTTAGCAGGATAATTCCCTGATTGTCATCACAATTTTACACAGTGTTGATGATGAAATAATTGATGTTGATAATGAAATAATTATGCTGAAAATATGCTGTTATGAATAACAGTAGTAAAACTCAGTGGAGCAGTTTCATGCCTAATCTGCTACTCTGTGGCCTATCTTTTGCCCAAGAACAGAGTTGCTTTATTAAAAACTGAATCAAACAAGAAAAATGCAAGATAACGCAGTAACGGAAAGCTGCCATTGGTGTGTGAGTGACAAATTGTG